CAGGACCGCAGGGCACGGAAGGTCTGTGGAGTAGTGAGTCAGAACAGGACCCCCAGAGGGGTCTGCCAGGGAGACTGCAACCGGCCGACTAAGCGGCGTGAGTGTGGTGCAGTCTTGAAAGAAGGAGCGAGACGCCCCTGAGTCAAGGGTGAAGGTGAGGGAGGCCGGAGCCGACGCAGTACCTGCGAGAGCGGACTCACCAGCACCTGAGGACGCACACTCACTGGCACCTAGAGCAACAGCCTCACCAGCACCAGGAGCAGCAGCCTCAACAGCACCTGGAGCAGTAGCCTCAACAGCACCTGGAGCAGCAGCCTCAGTAGCACCTAGAGCAACAGTACCAATGCCCGGGTCGGGCGGGAAATACCGGTAACAGTCACCCTCCTCACTAATAGTCACAGCATACATGGCACGAAGGATAGCATCAAAGTCAAGATCAAAGATAGCTACTCCTGCCCTAGACAGCTGGTCCCAGCGAGGGATCTCAGTGGCGTCAGGAAACTGGCGGCGCCAAGCGTCAGTCAGGCGGCCAAAGCAGCGCTGGGTGGGGTGTGGACCACCACACGGCTCACCCGCACGGTCGCTAGTGCGCAGGACGTAGGTGCACGGACCAGTACCCCCACCCCTCTGACGTGCAGCGTACCACTCACGGAGCTGTTGTGGGGAGAGGGTCTTCTGACCACGCTGCTGCTGCTGGCGCTGACTACCACCGGAGCCACTCCTCTGCAACGAGCCACGACCTCCTCCGCCGCCTCCGCCGCCGCCGCCGCCACCACCTCCGCTACCACCTCCACTCCCACTGTCGCCGCCGCCACCGCCGCCTCCGCCTCCACTCCCACCACCACCGCCGCTGCCGCCTCCGCCTCCACTGCCGCCGCTAACACCTCCGCTCCCGCCACCACTCCCACCACCACCCCCACCTCCTCCGCTGCCTCCGCTGCCGCCTCCACCGTCCCCGCCAGCTCCACCACCGCCCCTGCCCCCCTTGCCCCTGCCAGGGCGACGTCTCCCACTGGGGGCAGACGCCGCACCGACCGACTCAAAACCAACGAGGTCGGCCGTAGCAGCAGAGGCGACAGAGGGCAAAAGGGGGGAGGGGGAACACCCCTCAAAGATGGGGGTGCGCGGGTCACCACAAGAGGCCCCTACAGCGAGAATGCTCTTCTCGGCCGCGAGGAGGGACTTCTCGAGGAGGTCAACAGTGAGAGTGGTGGGGCAGACTGAGAGAAAGTGGTCCATGACTACTCGAAGGGAGTCAGGGAGGCGGGTGACTATGTAGTAGAGGGTGATGTACATGGGGGGGGGGTTCTTGGCGCGGAACTCAGCAGGAAGCGCAGCGCGGTAGCGAGCGTCACTAGTGCGCAGGTGGGTAATGAGGTCAGCGACTGTGGCAAAGGCAGCAAGGTCGGGAAAGAGGTACGGTAGCATGAGGCGGCTCAGTGCAGCAGTGGCAGGGGAGGAGTAGCGTGCAACTACAGCGTCGTACAAGGTCTGAGCACTCTTGTACTGGCCAAAGTGCGCACGCTCAGAGGGAGGGAGGTGGCGACGCACAGCAAGATGTGCAGCAGCATCGAGTGTGTCCCACTGTGAGCGAACAGTGGCATCCTCATCAGCAGCAGGGGCGGGAGAGGCACCAGAAGTGAGGTCAAAGAGAGAGAGGCCGTCAGCTCTGTCGCATTGTAGGAAGAGCAGCAGGTCGTCCACCCAAACGTCAAAGTCGATGGCCCTACCCTCAGCGTCAAAAGTGAGGACACTGGGGGTAGCCATGACAGCAGTAGGGTGAGGGCAGTGCTGCGCTTACCAGACAGAGCAGGTCGGGTAGTGCAGGTACCGGGGGGCTCAGGCGGCTCGGGCGGCTCGGTCGGCTCGGGCGGGTCGGGCAGGTCGGGCGGCTCGGCTGCTGGGCGGCTCGGCTGCTCGGGCGGCTCGGCGGCTCGGCTGCTGGGCGGCTCGGCGGCGCGGCGGCTCGGCTGCTGGGCGGCTCGGCGGCTCGGCGGCTCGGCTGCTCGGGCGGCTCGGCTGCTGGGCGGCGCGGCTGTCGGCGGAGCGGCGGCCCGGCGGCTCAGGTGGCAGGCAGCGCCGTAGGTGGGTGCGCCGCTGCTGGGCTGCTGGGCGGCGGCGTCGCTGCCTGGAGAGGTGGCGCCGGGGCCGGTAGAGGCTAGGGGAGGCGGCGTCGGGGCCGAGGACGGCTGTGCCGGGAGAGGGGCGGCGCCAGGTGCAGCAGAGGCAGAGCGCGGGCGAGGGGAGGCGACGTCGGAGCCGGGAGCGACAGGATCGGGGCCGGCAGAGGCGGCGTCGGGGCCGCAGAGGCGGCGCCGAGGCCGGCAGGGGGGACGTCGGGGCCGGGAGCGAGAGTGTCGGGGCCGGCAGAGGGGACGGCGGGGCCGTCAGATGCAGCGGCGGGGCCGGCAGAGGCGACAGTGGGGGCCGCCAGAGGCGACGACGGGGCCGTCAGAGGCGACGGCGGGGTCGTCAGAGGCGACTGCGGGGCCGTCACGGGCGGCGCCGGAGTCGCGGAGGTGGGCGCCGAGGCCAGAGGGGCGGCGCGCGACAGCAGGGCGGCACGCGCGGCGCGACGCGGCCGTCTGGGGCGGCGCGACGAAGCCGCTTAGGCGGCACGACGAAATTGTGAGAGTGGCGCGACGCGATCGGGCCGCTAGAGGAAAGAAAAAGCAGAGCGCGACTCGGGCTAGGGCTGAGCGCGCTCCGGGCAGGGAAAAAAAAAAAGTTGGTGGGCCCTAGGAACAGTTCCCACTAGGGAACCTGCTCGATACCATCTCAGAATCAGTAGCGAGGAATGATCAACTATGAAATGAAATCAGTACAAGTACCAACCCTAATTGGGTTGTACCCCCTATGGGCTACCCCACTACAGCCTACAAACATGCATCAGCTATAATAATCTGACACTTTGGTCAACAACATATCATCTTGTATATCTGAATTGTTAATACTAGCCTAAAGAAAACTAGTGCAATGCAGGTGGTCATGATAATAATGGAAGGCTTCATTGGTGGTGCGGGAACATTTATTCTACATTATATTTTGTAAACTGGTTTGATAGATACTTAAGAGCAATATCCTACACCGAAGGTGTTGAGTGCAAAATGTGGTTTGCACGTGAACCTACCGCCTATTCGCCGACGGTAAAAGGAAAATGAGAGTTTTTTGTTTTAAGGTAATTCGTGGAGTCTGAGGAGTGCATTTGTGTGCTTTACATTTGTGTGTTTACGGTTTGTGAATCGCCTTAGCGGTTCATAAGTTACATGCATTTTTTTGTATGAGTGCATTTCATGAATGTTCATGAATGCTCATGAGTTTCCGTGAAAGCGCATGAAAGTTCGTGAGTTTCGGTAAGTTCGCGTGAGTTCGCGATTGTTCATAAGTTTGCGTGTGCGCTCATTGTTTCTCATGTGTTTTTGTGGGTTTCCATTAGAGTTCATGAGAGTTCATATTTTCGTGAGTTTTTCGAATGTGGCGAGTGTTTTGTGAGTTTGACTTAGTTGCGCTGGTCAAAGTCAACCGCGCGCGAAGGTCAGGACCCACGCATGGGGTCCTGACACACGCGTGTGGCCCCTCAGGGCTCGTGCGTGTGCTTCGGCAATGTTGCGAGCGTGGCAGGGCCCACGATCGCAACGAGTCATGGTACATTACTGCCCTGACTCGCGCCAGGACACCGCACCGAGAAATATCTCGGTCATGCTGGCTGTCTACGATTCTGCACTACGATGCTTCACTGGCGCGGCCAATGCACATCTGCATTCCTGCACGATTCCATCTGACTGCTCCCAGCAGGCGGCCTAACCCTGCACAGCAGGAGCCTTCGCCCGTCCCTAATCCTCGTAGGTCTAGCCTTTAGCCACCTCGGCTGGCTCCTCTCCCTCGACCTCATGCTGGACGACGGTAGGTTTTTAGTTAAGCTCTGCTTTTTGCTTGGTTTTCATTTTGCTTTGGTGGTTCCCGTGTTTCTCAGCAGCCCGCTGGCACTTCGCCCACCCTTTCAAACTACCAACCCCCAACCATTAAGCAAGTGCTGCCACGACAGTTTCGCAGATTTCGCCTCAACTCTTCATCTGCCCCAGCCCTGGCGCCAACAAGCGGTTGGTTTATCATCCATGGCCCGACTCTTCGCTTCCCAAACCAACATATATTTCCCCGCAACCTTGCCTCACGATTTCATTCTCCAGCCCGTTTTCCTTGTTTTCCTGGTTCGTGTGTTTAAACTTTCTGACCCAAGTGCTGTTTTTGCCACACAAGTTTCTGCTGCAGCAAGCCCCCTGCCCAACCGATCGCGCCCCCCCCCTGGCAGCTCTTTCAAGAGCAGATTCCGCCTGCACCAACCAAGCTCCCCCCACCTGCTTCACTTCTCTGCAAAGTCTTTTGCTCGGCCCATTCTCCCCACCAGGGTTTCCATGCAACCAGGCTGGCTGCAAACTCCCCCCTCTTATCCCTTGTCTCCCACCCCCGTCAGCCCTCGCTACTCTTCTAACACACATGCGACCCTACGTGGCTGTCTTTTCGTCTTTCCCCACGTGACTACCACCACCCACCTGTTCGCCTTCCAGTGCCTACTGTTATTACTGCCTTCATGGCGCTGCGACTCGGGATGCCGCTTAGGCTCCCAGTCTGCTCCTCTGGTTCGCTGTGGTCTCTGCCTATGCGTTCCCTCCTATGATGATCCACTCTCCCCCACTCTGCATAACTGTTTCTGGCCGCCTCTTCATCTCCCCACGCGAATCACCCTAGAGCAGTTACAACTGACTGCTAAGTGCAATCCGCCCTCTCAGCTTCCACACCCTAGCCTCTCCGCGCGACGCGCCAAATGCCTCCCCTCTTCATCACCCCTCGGCCTCCCCACTGGTCCGCCATGCTACTCCTCCTCCCTCTCCTATTTAAACATTCCACCCTACTCCTCCAGTCATTGGTCTCGTTTACTCTTCAACTCACCGGTTCGCAACTCCTCACATACGCTGTCTTCTTCAGCTGCACAGCTTTTCTCCATGGACCACGTCATGTCGGATGACACTCCCAACCTGACCGGGGAGGAGTTCCTTCTTGAAGATCCCACTGACGACCTCTCGCTTGAGGACCTCGGCGGTGACGACTCTCATGCTGCCAAGAAGCCGTGTGTTGCCACGGATGGGTTTGATGATGGTAACCCCGGGACTTCCGCGGGTGTTTTGGCGACTCCCCCGAATGCGCGCACTGCATCAGCCCCTCAGCAGGGGCCGAACATGCTCGCGCAATCTGTCCCCAACCCCCGGGCGCAAGTCAACCAGCCCCCCCCTGGGGCTGGCAGCCCCGAGCCTGCCATGGCTCCCCCGACGGCTCCTCCGCCTACTCAGCCGGTCCACGTGAATGGGGCAGTCTCGGTGTCAGCGGAAGCGCAGCCCCCACCTCCCCGCCCCCTCCACCGCCCGCGTTTGGCCGTTGCGGGTTCGGTTTCTCTCCCCTGCCGCCGCCGGGCGGTAGTCACCCTTCTGCTGCCGGAAGCTGGTGCTGACGCGAATCGGGCCGACATTTTGGTCCGGCTGTCCGCCCTCCTCCGGGGACACATGTTCCCGAACGGAACCATCCCTCCTTACGAGGCTACGCCTAGTGAGGCGCTCCGGGTCCCGAGATGCTCGTACGCCCATCTTTTGTTCTCCTGGCCCTCTGCCAACGACGCTGCGGCCTTCCGCCGCGTCTTCCCGCTCTCCCTAAGGCTTGCCTCCTCCTGAACCGTCCTTCTCAAGGCGTATGACGACCCCCATCCTGAATTTACCGCCTCCAAGACCAACGGCGCGACCACACCCTCTGTCCGCAATGTTCCCATTGGTTACGACCAGGAAGACATCAAGGAGTTCCTCCTGAATGCCATGACGAAGGATGACCTGCCGTGGCTTGAGGACCTCCAGCACTTCCACCGGATCTCGGACCCCTTTGAGGGAGTGGCCTTCACGATTATGGATGGACTTCCGATACCATGCCCCGATGACCCTACCTTCAAACGCATTCCGGCGTCCATCCCTCTGGAGGAAGGAGGCCTACCCATGCTGCTCAACTTCTCTTCTCACACATGCTCCTTCTGCGCGAGCAACCACTGGGATGTGGACCATGAGTCCTTTGCGGCGCGCCGTAGGCAGCGCCTCCCCAACAAGCACACTATCACGGTTGGCCAGCTCCAGCAATCCAATGGTGTGTACTGTCGTATCACTGCATGTTATCTCTGCACTACTTTTGCCCCGTGTCCTTCCACCTTAACCGACTCAATCCCCCCCTTGCATCAGAATGCAATGCCTCTCTTCTCCCGCTGCTCCCCTTTACACTTGCTTCATCCGCTTCACCCAGGCCCTCTGATTTTCCCCTTCCACAAAGCCACTCCTCTGCCCTCCATTTCCAGTTCTGACCTATCTAGTGGAGGTGACCAATTCTTGCCAATGATGCCCTCCCCACCTGTTCGTATATGGCGTAGGATGCCCTGCCTGCTTTCCCACCTCATCTCTTCCTCACTTCTAAGACACTTCTTGGTGTTCCAACCGTTCTCTGTTGATATGCCCCTGTCCCGTGCAACCTTCACTACCCTTTTTGCCCCCCCATATCCCCTGCAATCTTTCCCGCCTTCGGTGTTGTCCCTGGGCCCTGAGCGTTTTCAGCCCCCCTTATCCTCTCCGCCCTTCGTGATCTCCCGTGCCCTTTTCTACATCAGCTCTCAACAGTTTACCCTTGGCCTGGTCACTAAACTGTACCCCCACCGGATCCACTTAATCCTCTCCTTGCAGTTCTGCCTCTCGCAGGCACTATTGCCCATGTTTTTCTACACCAGTCCTCCCTTACTTTCGTCGGAATTTCGTGGTCCCCCCAAATGCCATCTCCCCTTTCATACCATCCACTCCCTTGTGGCTGCTTCTTGTTCCCTGCTATCAACCCATGGCAGGCCAGATCCTTGGCGCTCATGCTGTGCCTGTGTTGTTCCGCAACGACCCAGGCCTGCTCTTCATTGGGCTCGACTCGCTCGTCGAAACATGGACCTATGTCCTCTGCGATTTTCGCTGCGGAAAGGCTCTCGACAGCGCTATGTCTCACATGGCTTCCGGTCAGCACGCCGCGCAGCTGCGCGCCACCTCTCACCCCCCTCCGGCCAAGGAAAAGTACAGTACTTGGCGTGCTTTAACCCTGCTCGAGGAGCCGCGCATTGCAACCTTCGTGCGTGCTTGAATCTAAGGAAATCTGCAGCATGTGTCTCATGGATTAGCTTAGTACTTGGCTCTGGTCTTCCGCTTCCTCTGGACAGTTTCACCCCTATCGCCCTATGTTTGAGCCTGCACCACAACTCGTGCGGGCCTCCCTTCCCCCGTGGATCCGCACTACAACCAGTGCGGGGGGGCTCTAGTGTGCAACCATGAAAACTTTTCTCTGCATTCTTACGCTCAATGTTAATGGAATCAATCACCCTTATAAAATGAATTGCCTCAAATATTGGATTTCTTCGCAACCTGTCAAAATTGATATTCTTGTTCTCGTTGATACGCGCCTTTCAAACAATCTGCCCAAGCTACAACTTACTCTCCGCCCTGCAGCACATTCGTATGCCGCTGGTCCTTGTACATCGTCGCACCCTTCTCCCGGTGGAATCTCCGTATTAGTTTTTCGTAAGGATATCACTATTTCCTCCCATGAACCTTCAACGGATGGGAGACTTCTTCTTGTCCACGTGAATTATCTCAATGAACAATTTCGGCTGCTTGCGCTCTACGCCCCGGTTTTGACGCTAGAACGACGCTGCTGGTGGCACTCCACCCTCTCCCCGTCCCTGGCGGCACCCTCATCCGCCCCATATACCGTCGTTGTGGGGGATTTTAACTCGGTGGACTCTGGGGTGGACCGTAACCGGGCCCTTCATGGCTATGAAGGTAGTGAGGCATCCTTATTCTCTACCCTTATGTCGCAACACTCTCTTGTGGATGCCTTCCGGGCCCTTCATCCCAATGTTACCCTCTTCTCTTACTTCGGCCGCTCTCGTATCACCCCAGGCCCATCCTCACCCCTCCCCGCCGCTCGTCTTGATCGCGTGTACATATCCGCCTCGCTTCGCCCCCGACTCGCCGCATCCCCCTATCATCTCATTCCTTCTGGGGTCTCTGATCATGCGCTTGCCCCGCTTTGCTCTTTCCTCTTTGACAACCCGGCGGCCGTTCCTTGCCCGTGGCGCTTCAGCACCTCACTGCTAACCCGCCCCAGCACCTCGTGCATCATAGATGAACATATCCATCTCCTCCCCCCCTCCTTATCCCCCATTCACTGGGACCTGTGGAAGTTTCGCCTTTGTCTCGCCCTGAAGCGTTTCTCCTCTCTGGAACGGTGTCGTGTGGACAAGACCATTGTGCATCTCCGTCACCTAATCTGCTCTCTACAACACCAAGCCTCCTCTGTTCCCCCCGACCCCTCAGTCACAATACCGTTGCTTCGAGCCAAACAACAACTTGTAGCATATGAAACCACCAAAATATCTTAAGTCGCTCTGAAAGCAAAGCAAAAATTTGAAACCCATCGGGAAATGGGTCTATCGTCTCTCCTTGTTGGGCTTGGCTCTCGTACCAAAGCGGCTCTCATCTCGTGCATCATCCTCCCGAATGGTCAGACAACATCGCACCTCCCTACCATGACTGCAGTTTGCTCTGCATTTGTAAAATCCCTCAACAGTGGCAATACCTTTATCTCGCGTGATGAGTCCTTCTGGCAACACGTGCCCCGTACTACCCCCCTTCATCACTCACCTCTACTCTGGCTGCCCCGTTTACATTACTTGAAATAAGTAATGCCATCTCTCTGCTCTCCCGTGGGAAAACCCCAAGTCCGGATGGCCTTTCAGGCGAGCTATATCGTCATCTTAAGCCCCAATTTGCCCCACTCTTCCACTCGTTACTTAATCCCCCCGTCCCCTTCACCTCCCTCCCACCTTCTACGCTTCGTGGCTGGACTGTCCTCATTCCTAAAAAGGGCGACTCCTCTCGCCCGGACAATTTGCGCCCTATCACTCTCATGAATGCAGACTACAAAATTCTTGCGATTTGCCTTGCTAATCGCCTCCAACGAGCTCTCCCGCTCATGATACACCCATCCCAAACAGCATTTATGCCCAAGCGGAAAATTGGAGACACAATTAACGATATTCTCGATATTATGGACTGGGCCACGTTTTCTGCATCTCCCCTACTCGTCCTCACTATCGATCTGCGCAAGGCTTACGACTCCGTTGATCGTCTCTTTCTCTTTCGCTGCCTCGCACATTTGGGCATCCCCGATAAATTTATCCATTTGGTTCGCTTGATGCACTCCGGCACTTCGACCTAAATCGCGGTTAACAACCTCGAAGGCCCCCTCTTCCCAGTTAATACTGGGGTTCGTCAAGGCTGTCCCCTGACACCCCTCCTCTTCATCTGCGTTGTAGAAATATTTTACCGCTTCTCGGCGGCCCACCTTCCTGGCTTTGCTCTCTTAAAAACTCAACGTCGCCTTATGGCCAGCTACGCGGACGACATTACCATGTTCCTTAACTTGATTGCCGAGCTGGATTCTGCCCTAATAGTGCTCTCTCGATTTGCCTCCGTATCCGGAGAATTCCCTAATTGGGGGAAATGCTCGCTTATCCCTTTTAATATTTCACCGCAGTCTATCTCATCTGCCGGGCCAATTCCCATCCATGAACCTCATGAAGCAGAGTGTATTTTAGGTATTTTTGTTGAACTAGATTCTCCGGGCACCACTACTTGGTCAAACATGCTCACGCGGGTCCAACGCATCGCCAAATACCTCTCGTCCCTGCGTGCCACCGCCTCCTGCCGGAAACACTAAGCCACAACCTTTCTCAACTCGGTCATTTCATTCCTGGCTCGATTCCAGCCAACCTCGAAGGATATCCGCACCTGCCTTGATCAAACGGTTGGGAACTTCCTCTCTGCCTCAGAGTATAAAGACCACGGACTCGGTGTTTGGCTGATCCCAAAGAAGTTGCTTTATAATAAAGTGCGTCATGGTGGCTTGAGCGCGATCACCCCCTCCACACAAATCCAAGCCCTATCAATCCAACGAGCTCTGCGTCGGTTTGGTGCCTCTTCTGCGGAGTCCACTGCCCGCACATGCATTCCGCTTCCATATGGCGCACATGCTTTTCTGGCTCATGCTTCAATCTTGCACAAGTCGGTTCTCCCACCCTCTACTCCCCGCGGTATCCGTGATGAGTTGTAAAACTTCCTGTCTCTCAAGCCAACCGTCCTCCCCCCTCGCCTTGAGCCGCGGTGTCTGCTGGCAGAGCCGCTTGCGTTTAACCGGTTCATCCTTAAACCCTATAAAACTCCCTTTGGCACTCGTAAGCATGAGCGTTTCTTGCTTACTCTCCAACTTCGTGTTGGGCACATTTTCCGGTCTAACAACCCTTCTTGTCGTCCCATCTCTGAGGAGGAATTTATCCAACAGTGGCCCCCCTCTGAGTACCCTTCTGGTCGCATTTTACTTGGAAAAATTCTCCTCGCGATACCGCCTGAGTGGAAACGCACCCTCCTTTCACCCCCTCCCCCGGAGGTTGCATTAGGGGACTGGTTTGTTCCAACTCATAGCCTAGCATAACGTCCGCTATTGGCATTTGAGGCCCTTTCATTCACCCCCCCTTCTTCCCTAAGTGCTAGGATTTTTCGTGTATCTCCCTCCAATCTTATTGACAGGGAATCACTAGACATTATGACTTTCGATATTAACCATGTCTTAACAGTTCATGTTCAGGGAAGACGGCTGCTGGGGCCTTTCCACGAAGGGACAGGTTTAGGAGCAAGATTGGCAATCCTTTCATATGGTCCTCCTCCTCTTGCCACCATTCGCCGCCTCCTTTACAAACGGCAACCGCTCAATCATGACACTCGATGGTCAGCTGCTCTCTCTGGTCCTCCACCTTCATGTTTACCGGATCTCTCCCACTCCTTCCTTCGACACCAGCCCAGCCTTCAACGAGATCTTCTCTACCGCTTCTATACACGTACACTCGCGTTCGGTTCGCGCTTCAACTTTGCCGCCGACCGTGGTATCTGCTCCTCCTGTGTCGCCGGTCGTCTCGAGACCATCTCCCATATCTTCTTTGAGTGCGGGGTTGCTGTTCCGGTCACTATGTCGCTCCGTGCAGTGGCCCAACGCCACCTAGGTCTCTCCATCTCCACGGAACAAGTGTTTTTCCTCCTGCCATCTCGTGCCGGTCAACGAGCGCCTTGGAGTCTTTTAGTTGGTGCTGCTGCCAAGGCGCTTTGGAATGCCCGCTGTGAGCGCAAATACCGGGACTCCCATATCAACACGTTCAAAATTCTTCAACTCATTCTTGCCCAGCTCCTCGTCGCTTTCAAGATCTTCCTCTGGCATAATGAGAGGCACTCCACCAAGAAACGGCGTCATGCTGTTGCAGCCATCTTCTATGCCAAAACTTCCTGTTTTTTCACCTTCACTAATGATGGTGTTCCTGAAATTCACCCTGATCTGCGTGCCTCATGGCTCTTGAATGACACATTCCGTCCACCTTAGTGCCCTTTGCCGCCTCCTATGCAGAGCGACCCCTATACACAGGGGCTGTCCTACAGGACAGATAATTAGTGTTGTTTTACACACCTTCTTCCTAGGAGGTTGGCTAGCTTAGCCATTCTCTTTTCGCTCTGTATAGCCTTGTAAATGATTACGATCTATATATAACATTCTAACATTCGGTCATGCTGGCTGGCACGTGGGGAGCTCGGGATTTACAGTTGAAAAATTGTATCCTGTGTTGACTTGGCAAACATGAGGTTTCGCCGGAAAGTCACGCTACTTTGCATGATCATTTCGACAAGGGTACGAAACGGTAAATGCTGTTTTGCATCAGTAAATTCCGTTTTGCAACGGGAAAACGGGTTTTCTACACGAGGCTTCATGAGTGTTAACGGGAATTCATGAGTGCTCGCGAGGGGAGTCAGCAGGGGCGTTTGGATGAAGTGCCATTTGAATCAGTTATTCTAATGAAGCGGATCAAGCCAAATGCAGCTGAGGTTTGACAGCCGTTTTGCCAAGACAACATGGCAAAGTCATATATTACAGTTTTATAACTGTTAAATGCTTGCCCTGTGTTTGCTTAAGTTCATGCTTAGCGCCCTCTATAAATGCATGCTTTTGTTTCTTTGTAATCAATTTTTTGGAGTGGATATTTT